TTTCCTTGCAGATGATACAACAGGAACCTCTTCCATCTATACAGTTTTTCAAGGGCATGAAATTATGTTCCATGTTTCAACCATGCTGCCGTATTCTAGAGAGAACAAGCAGCAGGTACATCGTTCTCTCTCTTTCCCCCCCCCCCTTTTTTTTAAAAAAAAATTTATTTATTTATTAAATCACGATCTCCGAAAGTTTAAAAGAAAAGAAGGGATTTCTTGCCTGTTGATATTTTAGAAATGTAAGGCTTAAGACTTTTGCTGTATTTTCCTCAATATTGTACCTGATGCTGAAAACGTCATGATGTTTGTTAGAAGATAATGCGTCATATCTTTATTAAGGTACAAATGACACTTGGAAAGAAGGTAAAAATTGATTGCCTGAGAAGTGATGGAGTATTCCGTTATTCAGATAACTTGTAGAGCTTTACTGCTGCAATTATTACCTCAAAGAATTTAGGAAGGCTGGAAATTAGACTTGTGTGTGAATTATCAGAATACTCACATATGTAACACGCAACTCACACTCAGGTATCAATTTGTGTAGCTTGAAAGAAATTCACCTTGTGCGTGTTAACGGCAAGCCTTGTGCATTTGCTGTAAAGAACTGCTATTGCCATCTCATACATTGACTGGGTGGGTTCTTGGGTGCCTGTTCAAATGTGCTGTCATCCATTGCTTGAACCTTTCTATGTATTATATAATGAAAAAAATACTTTATAAGCACATGCGTTTACCTATATGTCACACATCCATAACGATTTTCCTAAAATTACTTGCAAATTACTTGTTTCACTATTTTCTTGTTTAAGTGATAATTCTCTATTATGTATTATTGTAATAATATATTTAGATGACGTAATTATGTTATCCTTTTTTTATTTCCATGTCAGTCTTCTTATGCTTTTGCCTTGGATTGATGACAAGATCACAGCAGAAACCAGAAGCCAATCAGGGCATTTATTGTTTTTAAAGAATAAGTCCTCATCGGAGTATTTTTCCTTTTATTTCAAGTGGTGGATTTGCTTTTTTGGAACGCTAGGTGTTCTCTGCCCAATTTGAGAATATTACTTATGGAAATTACAGAAATTGAGTGCTTTGCTAACTTGAAAATATGCAATAGCTGCTGTTCTAGCAGGTGTCTTGTGTGTGCACCATAGCGTTGCTAGGTTTACTTGCGTATAGTTAACTGATGACTTTATATTGGCTTCAACCATATTGACCATAATTTTTCTGTTTGCAGTTTAGGAATATTGTTTTACCATTCTGTCACAGAATTGTTAAGGTATTTATTTATGTCTTTTAAGTCATTGTGTCTTCCCTTCCCACCCACACTCCCCGCTCCTTTTTTTTTTTTTTTTTTTTTTCTTCTTTTTTTTCCAGGTAGAAAGGAAGCGACATATTGGAAATGACATTGTCACTATCGTATTTCAGGAAGGTGAAGAGTCTTCTCCAGCATTCAAGCCATCCATGATTCGCTCTCATTTTACACGTATCTTTTTCCTTACATTTTCTAGTGGTTTTTGTTTTGTTTTGTTTTGTTTTTTTTCGTTTGTGGGGTTTTTTATGTGTTTTTTTGTTTGCTTTTAAAAGATCAATATTACTTTCTATTCTACCCTAAGTTCTTCCTGCATGCTGTTTATGGAAGTGAAAACTATTTTAGAAAGACAGTTGCATTCTTTACCTTCAACTGCTTGACTAGAAGTCTCTAAGTCTGTCTCATAAAATAATTTTTCTGTTGAACCACTTGGAAGATAAAGTCAAAGCAAGAATGTGATTTTTTAAATTGTATTTTTATTGAAGACATTTATTTGGATCACTTCGTAAATTAAATTTCATACAGTTTCATAAAATATAAGTTCATAAAAATATTTCTGTTAGTGATGTGAATTTGGCAGTAACTACTGAATATTGCCTGTCAATGGTTAGATGCTGTTTATTTTAGGTATTTATGTATTTTAGATGAGTGTTTCTCAAATCTTTTGGACCATAAACCACATATTCTTCAGAATTTTGGCAGCCTATGTGTTTCAAACTTGTGGTTGAAAACATTGTGAAGACAATAAGATTCCAAAAACCAGCTGCCAATCGCTTAGGGTTAGGATGGGGTCACACTAGTGGTCCATAGATCTCAGTCTGGCATCTCTTAGGCTAGATGGAATGGAATGAAGAAAAATGGGTGGAAAGAAGGAAACTCTGTTTCTATCCATGCTCTGTTGCCAAGTTTTTAAAAATGATCACAGAGCTTATGACTTCTAAACCTAGTTCTCAGGCTAACTGTTGTCAGAACGTTCTTGCAAGTTTCGTCCATGGCTGGTCTTAGTTTTTAGATTTAAGCTTTTAATATTAACCTCTTTTACTCTAAATGGAAGAAGTGACTAGAACAAAAAGAATTCTGCAATTTTAAAAAAAAAATCTTTAGATGTCAGAGAAACCTAAATATTGTTAATAAGAAATGTTTACGAAGTCAGTCTACCTCTTCATCAGAGTGTGAGCATTAGTAAAAAATAAATAATTCTTACGTTATTGCTGTTAGAAGGACATGTTATGATCTAATTGGTACACCTTTCTCAGAAAATTGAGAAAAAGAGTAACATTTTGAGGTTCAACTGTCCCTGGTGTCATAATGAGTTGGAGGGGCAGATGTGCCCTAAATCCATAAGTACATGGATTCATTTAGGTCATTTTAAGTAATCCGCAGCTGGTCGATGGAGTCATATCACCTTCCTGAAGTTTTCAGTTGATAGTAGCCAGGGATAAAGGTGTCTGTCAGAAAATAGGGGGGTGACACTGGTCTGTGTCAGATGTGGTAGATCTCAAAGCTCATTCAATCTGTTCTAGTGCTTCATACTCACTTTCTTACATACTATAGCATCACTTTTTTTGTTATTTCTACAATGGGAAAATTAGCAGATGGATATCTCACTGTCCTCTCCTATACAGCAATGATAGCTACTGTAAGGGTTTGCCATATGTCATCTCTGGGGTAGGATTGAGTTACCCAAATAAAGGCATCCAGAACCAATTTAGAGGTCCCAACATATCTGAAATGTCTGTGCAGGTCTGGCAGATATGACTTAGGGTTTACAGGAGATCTGTGCCCCTTTTGGAATAGCAGCTGGAGATTAGGCAATATGCTTTCTAGCATCCTAAATAGCACTGGATGGTTACATTGAAATAATTGAATCCTATCGTAAGCCTTTTTTATTGTGCAGTCTCTGATAGTGCTGATCACAGCTATTGGCAAAGGTCTCTTCAGTCTGGAAAAATCCTGTACAGCCAATGAAGCTATTCAGACTTATGCTTTCTTTGACACTGTTTCTAGGGACTGAAAATCTAGAGGCTGTGTTAAGGTAATCTATCAAAGCAACAAGCCACTAATTGATTCAAGAAAAATATCTTGCGAGGCAACCATAAGGATTTCTCTGATTTTTTTTTTTTTTTTTTTTTTTTTTACCCAGATTTTCCCAAAGTTATCAATCAAAACTGGTAATACATTTTTTTGTGTGCTTGCACTTTAAATCATGGAATCATAGAATAGTTTGGGTTGGAAGGGACCTTTAGAGATCATTTAGTCCAACCACCAAATCCTCCTCTCTATTTTCTTATAATTACGTTAGCTAAATTACTTAATTGGAATCTTTTCTTTGGTGGAAACTTTGGTATAAGCGAAGTTCAGAATCAGTACTTTTTTTATCAACTAAAAGAATTTTAATCACAAGTCTGTCAAACACACATGCAAAACAAAACTGCATAGCGCATTTTACACTTCAGATAACAGGAGGAAGTCTGTATTTGTGGCACTAGCTCAATTTTTAAAACTGTTGATCGAACAATAAAACTTTGTATGGGACCTCCTTTATAAACAGTAAAATATGTATAGTCCAGGATTGATTAATGTATTTTACCTTTATTATGTCTGTAATCTGCTGCAGGGAAAAAAAAGTATATTAAAATACATGTAAGTTTCATTAACAGTGGATTAACTTCCTTAACTGCACGGCAGATATTTTTGCCCTAGTGAGATATAATAAGCAGAATGATAGTTACAGGTAGGTGCTGATTACAACAAATAACATCACACTGAGTTTCTGATGGTTTAGAGATAATGGGAAAACATTTGTGTTGTCCACCTGTCTGCGTGCCAGGAAGCCGAATGAACTTATGAAACTGAATAGCAATATGGAGCTGGATGTAGATGGCTGTAAACTGGCTATGAATAAGTTGCACATTTCTAACCATCAGAAAAATGAAATTCTGGAGCAGTCATAAGCTAAGGGGATGAAACAAACCTACTTTTTTAGATTAAATATAACAGAATGGTGCAAGATAAGCCTTGGAATACTCTGACCTGGTGAGATCAATGACATACTGAACTACATGTATGATGAAAGTTAATTAGATATGATGATGTGATAGTCATGGACTCCTTATGGGTCTGGGTTCAGTTGTAGCTAGGCAAACCAGTTCATTTTTAGCGATCTTGTACAGTTGGACATCATGCGCTTAAAACCTAGTGGAATTTTGCTGGTAAATAATGTATTCTTCATCTGTGTTTCAGTTTGCCTTAGGACCCTTGCACTTGGAGGCATATGCTGTCCAAGTCTGAGTCTGTTTGGTCTCACCAGAATCTGAAAAGCAAGCATTTCTGCAGCCTTGTGCCTAGGCATTAATGAACAAAGTGGCTTTAAGCACATAGTTAATCCCAACTGTTGTCTTGAGATTGATGATGGGATGCCAAAGACATCTGTCAGTCTTGAAAATGCAGAGTGGCAGTGGGATGTCATTGTCCAAGCTCATGGGAGGGATTCACCTTAGGCTTTAACCAAATAAGCAGTAAAGAGAAATAAAAGAGCCAACGTTTAGCTAACAGTACGTGCTGCAGTTCTCAGTATAAGATGTAGACTTGCCACTGTTATTTCCCTTTTACAAAGTACTAGCAATGTCTGTAGTGATCCCACTTCTATTAGAAGTTTGTCAAGTCATTGACTACTTAGACTAGGCCAAAAAGAAATGGGAGAATTTCGTTCTTTTTTGGATATGTGCCTGAGGAGAGGATTGGTTAGGTTTGAAATCACTGCCAGCTCAGATGATGAAGTCTCTCATGGGTAAAAAATTTATATTGGGAAACCAAAATAGTTGGTTTATCCAGCACTAGAAAGGAAATTTCAAGGCATGAAACTAAAATTATGCCTCAAACTGGAATGCATGTGTGTAAATCGACAACACTCAAAGCTAAAAACTTTACAAGATGGAAGAGTGAAGTCAATGTGTTAGACTTTGAATGCAGATTTCTAATAGCTGTGTGAGCCTCCATGACATTAGTTATTATTTAGCAAAATTTTAAACTGTTTGCAAATCATTCTGCTTCACATTTGCAGGATGAAGCTGAAGGTTGACAGCATTGTGAAGTACTAGTTAGCTTGTAGTGGAAAGACAGAAACTGAACTTGGATAATGGCTTCCAGGAATACAGGGTCCTTAGGTAGATTAGATTTGCTTCATCCTTTCTTGACAATTCTGTAACTCTGAGGACTCAGGCGGATTGTGAAAGAGGCCAGCAATATCTCTGGAACCGATCACCTGGCACTAGTGCATTTTCTTGAACAACCCATATCACTTTGACAGCTAAGAAATATACTACACGTGTAGAAGGCATTCTTTTAGCCTCTTCCTTAGAGGTGCAATACAGACTGCTGATACCAGCCATGGTCTATGGTTTCAGAAGCTGCTGCTCAGATCCAGTCACATGGTTCCAGCCATTCCAATGTGTGTAAAATCTGCCTTGCTTTGGAAGTTTTTTTTATACTTCATAGGCTGAGCAATTTTCACTGCCGTCTAAGAATCTGTTCTTCTTGCTACAATATAGGTTACTGGAACTTTTTGTATCTCAAAGATCCAGGACTGACTAAGCCTTCTTGCCTAGCTCCAAAACTTGATTGTTAGTAGTAGAGTTTCGTGCTTTTCGTGCAACTGCAGCTCCACCTGCTCATTTATGAATGTTACTTGAAATTGTCTGCGGTGCAAATGTGGAAATGCACAAGAATGTAAAGGCGACAAGAAAATGGGTTAATATTAACTAGATTTCTTTGAGAGCTTTCTGATAAATATGTGTGCTTTCTCCTATCTTACGTTTTTTCTTCAAGTCCATTAATACTTGGGAATCTTTATTTTGGGGCATGCTGGAGAAGAAAGTTCACACCATCCTTGTTGCTCTTGACATGGAGTATGAGATGAGACAAAGCATGTAATATGCCAAATAGGTGCAGGAGTTGAAAGTCTACAAACTTGGGTATTTGAGGTGCATGTATATCCACAGAGGGTGTGTATATGTATATATAGATGGACAAGTACATCTGAAAAGAATTTTTCACTAGAAATAACTTTCTTTTTCAATATAGCTAAGAAACTTAAATCTTGATTCAATAAAATGAGTGAAATCCATATTACTATGTTTCTCTAGCATACATTAAATCTAGCTTCAGAGAAGAATCCAACTGCATGCTACTTCAGTTTGCATATGTGGATTTCGCCTGTGCCTCTCCTGTTTATAGCTAAGGTTTGTTTTGGAAAATGTCTGTAGTTCAGTTAAAAGAAAGAGGAGTTTTATTTTGCTTGAAGATTTTGTGACCACCTTCTTGCATTTGTTTCTCAGTTGATTGTCCTCGTAGATTCTGCTTTTCAGCATTTCCAAGTTTGGGAGAGACACAAAACATGTTAACGATTCCAATGTGCAGTGAACACTCAGTTACTTCTTTCCTTCTTTTCTCCTTATTTTGGGACAGAAACCTGGGCATGTATCCTTCATTAGCCTTTAAGAAACGAACAGTGTCCTAATTGTAAGCTAATAGTCAGTAGATGGGCTAGCCATGGTAAATGCTTTTTACATTATGGTTTATTTGGGGGGAAAAAAATCAGTAGCAGTAAATAAATTTGTCTTTCTCACTCTGAATGACTGACTGCTTTTACTAGATCAGTCCATTTATTCCTTGGTTGCTTCATTCTGCCAGTCTTCACACATCTTCCCATGGCCCATATCGTGCAATATTTTTCCCAATATGACAGGCCTAATACATTATTGTATAGTTCAGCTTGGCTTAATTACATTTCTTTCTGTCCCTTCTTAGGCCCACGTCGGACTCTTATTCCTTCTGTTACTTTTTTTGTGAAGACAGTCTTCCAAATGGCAAAAATTTCAGTCAAAAGAAATAGGGGATACTCTAGGCTTTTGAGAATAATTTTCCTTGTTTCATATGCAGTGCCACTGTGAGGTCTGGCACTGAATTTCTGCTTACACAGAATCACAGAATGTTAGGGGTTGGAAAGGACCTGGAAAGATCATCTAGTCCAACCCCTCTGCCAGAGCAGGACCACATAGAGAAGATCACACAGGAATGCATTCAGGCGGGTTTTGAATGTCTCCAGAGAAGGAGACTCCACAACCTCTCTGGGCAGCCTGTTCCAGTGCTCTATCACCCTGTTAATGTGGAACCTCCTATGTTCCAGTTTGCACCCGTTGCAACTTTATATTTTATGTCAGTCAAGATGTCTATTGTTACGGTCAATTTTGTTGTGGTTTTCCCCATCTTAACTCATTCTGCTCTAGCCAAGGAAGATTTCACACCTTGGGTAGTGGTAATGATTATTTCTTTTACCTGGGCAGAGTAAGATAGACATAGGGCATCTCTGAATTGTGTCTCAAATCTGTGAAACGAGTATTATAATGATCAACATTCATGCAAATGTAATACTGCATTTCAGATTGTATGCGCAGTTTTTAAGCTTTCACGAAAAAAGACTGGATGAATCCATTAGAATCCATTTGACTCAATACCAGTCAATCACTGCTGGTTTTTGAGCAAGCAAATCCTTGCTGATTTGTATAACAGTAGAAATGGGTTGAGTCTAGAATTTTACTGCTTAACTTGCTGCGACCTGTATCAGCTGCACACGTGGCTTAGAAGATCTTTGTCTGACTGCTGGCTTACGGTGAAGAAAATTGTGTAGACTGTCACTTGAAATACCAAGGAATGGTTACTTACCTTAAAGAAGCTACGGCTTGCTGAGCATGTTTGCACAGTTTTAGTACTTGCCATTCGTGCTTGCTATGCCGGATTCCTTATGGATCAAAAGAACACAGCAGGCCCAGGTGTCACGGAAGTCCTTATGACTCTTTCTTCCTCAGTGAAAATTCCCAAGATACAGATTCATCTGTAGTAAGCCATTGTTACTCAGAAAGAACCAAATATTTCATGTGTGTGGTGAATGTATAGGTAAGGTGGAAATCTATAAGAAGAACATATTTTGTAGGCAAAAACCTGTTCTTTTACAGCTCCTTTGAAAAGGACTAGGTGTTGCTAGTGCCACTAAAAGCATTGGTCTATGAGTAGAACTGCAAAGTTCTATTGTAATTGTTAGTGTCCCATTGTTAGTTTGTGTAAAGGAGGCAGGATTTTGCTCTAGTGAATAATTCCAAGTGAATGTTTTTTTGTTAGACCTGTAGGACTTCTCACCTAAGACATACCCAGATAATAGTTTCCAGTTCTTTCTTCTGTTTTGAATAGTGTCTATAAAAACTGGGTTTTGAATCTGACTTTCAATATAGATAAAGATTTGTTCTTTCCGTAGGCTGAAAATATTTTCAGAAGAAAGTGTTCCTCTCTTTGGGCCTCCCCTTCCATCCCCACCTGTGTTTACAAATCACCAGGAATTCAGGGATTTTGTGTTAGTGAAATGTAAGTCAGTTTTTCTTTTGCTAGAAACACTTATTTTAAAAGTGATTTAATAAATTGAAATTAATTATGCTTAAAATTTAAACACATTTTCTTGTCTATGCTGCTGTTCTGTATAGAATATTTTTTTTTTTCAAATTTGTAGTGTAGGTGGGATGACTGTTCCAGTCACATTAACAAAAAAACTGAATTTCTAAGCAATTATGCTTCTCAGGCTACTAGATACAAACTGACTTTTACATTTGCAGAAAGTGCAGCCATATTTAGCTTTGCGTTTTCGTAAAGGACTTGGAGATCTGAAAGAATTTATAATGCTGTTTGATATTTAGTAATAGAAGATGTTAGGTTAGCAGCTCTGAAAACATGAAAATCTAAGCTTTTCTGAATGCATGCTGCATAGGTGGCTTTCAGCACCTGTAAGGACTTTTTAATTCTGTAATGATTCAGTTCCAGTTTACATTGACCCTTACTTGACCTTCTAAATTGGTGAGAAAGAAATCTTTGAGAACTGACCGTGATGATTACAATTAGATGCTTACCTGACAGAAACTTGACTAATAACTCATTTAACATGTTTAAATTGGTTTAGTATTTATACTGATTAGAGGTTTGTCTTTTTTTTTTTTTTTTTTTATTAGTTAGGAGGTTAATGGGATGACTTGTAAAGTTCTCCTATGCTAATTTTTTTTTTCTTTTAAGCTTAAGGGATCATTATTCACTAAAAACGTGCAAAAAGGAGGCAACTCTAAATTACTAAGGGGAAAACTGGTATTTTTATACAGAGGCCAAGTAGAGTCAGTGGGAGTTGTCAAAGTTCATTTAGGTAATACATCTTCTTTTCCATAATATTTTAGTAATAAATGGGGAAAAAGCCACATTGGAAACCCCAACATTTTCTCAGAAACGTCAACGCACTCTAGACATGCTGATCCGCTCTTTATACCAAGACCTAGTGCCTGATCTACACAAGGTAAATGAAAGTCAGAAGCCTGCATCCCTCACATGTGCTTTCTTGTTCTCACTGGTGGATTGAGTGTTCCGTTGCTTTAAAAGACTGTGATCCTAATGAATACTGAATTGCATACACTAGGCTAAATACCAATTGCCATATAACTTGTTTTATGGTTATATGAAAGTTGACAGACGGTCCTTTCAGTATAGGACTCTTCATGCATTTGTTTAAAACAGGTGAGAGGAGAAGCGTAACAATGTCATACTTTGTGTAAGCTTACCTGCAGCAAGGGTATAGGAAAGTTATGCTATGCAAATACAGGTATTAGTCAGTCTCATCACTGTAAAAACTGTACTTATTCATTCCATTATGTGTAAATTTGGATAATTTTTACTCTTGGATAAGAATGAGATCATGTCATTTTAGATGATGAAGACCTATTCTTAAGGTGATTCTTAATGAGCTAAAAATAAGTTTATTTACTTCAAAAATTAGCAAGGTGCTATTTTTCCCCCCCTGTTTATTTCTCTTAGCTACATAGATATGCTTAAACTTTTTTGTCCATATATTCATGTCTGCAGTCTTTGTTAATGATTGCATAGAACATGACAATGATAAACTATGTCAAGTTGGAAAGTAAAGCACTTGAGGATAGGAAGATTAGCAATTTCTGTTCTCTGAGAAGCTATACAGCTAGATTCATCACTACAGGAAATTATCCAAGAAAAAAGATAGAGAATGTAAATGATATCACATCAAGTTAACTCAGATTAAAAGATTATGAAAACTGTTGGTTCAGTTTAAAAAAAAAATGTTTTCTGTTTTAGAACATGCTCAATAGAAGGTCATTCAGTGATGTGTTACCAGAGTCCCCAAAATCCACACGGAAAAAAGAGGAAGCTCGGCAAGCAGAGTTTGTCCGACTTGGTCAGGTAGGATCAGTTTAGGAGGTATGCATGCACCTATGTTTTTAAAGACTGTGTCACCCCTTTTGTTAGAGTTTCATTAGCTTGCAGAGCTATGTCAAGACTTAATGCAGTTCTCTGTGGTCAGAAGTAGGTTTGTAGTATTGCATTAGTTTAAGCTACATTAAGGTAAGATATGAATAGAAGTATTTATCTGTAGCACCTGAGGTACACAACACAAATACAAATATTTATAAAATACATAAGCTAAAGGAAGGTTTGAAAACTCACACCTTAGGATCAAACCTAAAAGGTCATTCCATGCTTCATGCAGCAGATTCTTTCTGCCTCCAAGCAGAAGAGTGCTCTGTCTTTTTCTGTGCTTCGGAGAAATGTAATGTTTTGTGGATTTCTTCTGTATCTTTTATTAAGATTTAATTTTTTAGAAATTATTTACCCTACTTTAGCCAGTTCGACAGTCTTTCTGCTAAATCAGAGGCTGCTGCACATCTTTTTGAACGTACCAGATGCCAACTCTGATCTTCTATGGGCTTATTGATATTTTGGTTTGGTGAGGAGTAAAACTTCCTGATGATTTAGATAGTCTGGTTTGATCTGACAGTTCATTGCAGCAGAAAAAAATAAGACAGTCTATGCTCATCAGTTCCCTTGTCCCTTCCTTCATGTTTTTTCTTGATGCTGGAATTGGTGACATCGTTCTGCTGCTTATCTTAATACCTCTTTTCTGAGCTGATTTAACTCAGCAGGAGTTAACGGAGCAGGAAACCAAAGCAGAAAAAAAAAATAAACAAACAAAAAACCTACACCACCACCAAACCCCAAACCTCTACCCTTTCCTCCCATTTTTTTATCTGAGTTAGTAAGCTAAAGAGCGGAGGAGTCTTGAGAAGTTCCAGATCTGGTTAAAGGTAGAGAACAGAGCCACGTGGTTGAGAGCTGGTGCAAAAGAATCTCAGGGCAGTTAAATCTTGCATTGGCAGGGCTGCAAAGTCTACTCTGTTCTTTGCCCGCTCTTTCCCCAACCACCTTGAAATAGCTAGTTACTCTAGGCAGGTGTATTATAAAAAAATATCTGCAATATTCAGACAGAAGTAACCAATTATTTATTCATCAAGTTTACTAATTACTTTACGGAACTTAAAGAAAAAACATGGTTACTGAATGTATAGACACCTGTAAGCTTGATCCCATTCCATGCTGGTAAGATACTCATGTAATAGATACAGTTGGGACTCATTTCTTAAACAAGACTTCCATCCCTGGCATGGTCCTCATCGAAGGGAAACCTAATATGTGGGTTTGTGTTTTTCTTGAAAGTTCTTTTCACATTTAAATCCTTCTCTTCCATAAAAGACCGTGACACCTTGGCACCCCTGGCAATTTTTTTTTTTTAACTTACAGGTTTGTTACAAAGTTTTGCAGGTGAAAGGTCAGCTTGTATAATTCATAAAAGGATCCTCTATCCAGCTAGCATATAAAATTAATTGTGTAGATGACTAGCTTGTACGATTTGAGATGGAGGCTTTTCTCTTTTATTAGGTTTGCCAATTCTTTTCCGATTTTGACTTTCCATTTAAAAAAAACAGACAAACAAAAACCAACCAACCAACATATATTTTGGCTGAGAAGATATCTAGCAGCCCTCTAGTGATTCATGCAGGCTTTGTTCAGGATATCCAGAATTCCGTTTCTTTTCTAATTACTTAAAATGTGATAGGAATTCCAAACGGGAGTTACTTTGTAGTCCTAAATTGTCCTTTCTTTATAGTCTTTAGCTTAGGTATTGCTGATAAAAACTCAATTTTATTAAAACATCTGTTTGTATTAGGCATTGAAATTGAAAACCACTGTGAAAGGGGATGCCACAGCTAACTTGGCAACCACAAGCTTTTGTAAAAAGGAGGTGAGTGAACCTGTCTGAGGAGAGTTATGAAAAAAAATAAATGCTATTGAGTATGGCATTGCATATCAGTTCTGCATACTGTTTTTTTACTTTTGTAATTAGGTGCTGTAGCAGCAAAGATGAAATGTAGAGTGTCAAAGTCATTCTGCAGACAAATTAGTAAAGGATGAGTCTGGAGGCAGAAGCACTTCTCAAGTTAAAGCAAGTGTGGATATTATTGTATCTGAGAATATTTGATGGAAATGCCATTTTTCCATACACAGTCATCTTTTATTTTAACTCCTGCATCAAGTTTGAAACAAAACTTAGTTATGTTTTTATTTCCTGTAGTACCAGATTTTGTTCAAAGGCATTAGGGAGTGAAAGATGCAAATCATACTCTTCTGCATGCATCTTGTACGTAAGCTTCAGAAGCGTTTCTAGAATTTCAGGGACTTCAGCTAATATTTAAATTGTGGGAGGAGCGCAGACTCCGTGAGGTAAGTACAGAGAACATATGATGAAAAAAACAGTTTGGCAGAAAGGCAATTTTAACTGTACCATGTGCTAGTGACTAAACGTCACAAACTGAGCCATAAAATTTAAGCAAATTGCACGTGCATGGTGGTACATGCATTTTAAATCTATAGGTTTTTCCAAGGTTGCACTGAGTATCAGCTGCATGTGTTTTAGTTCTGGTGTCTTAGGAATGTCTCTTACATTTACTAGTCTCCAAACCCAGTTAATACGGAGAGTATCTCCTCTGCAAGAAAATTAACTGAATTTTGATATTTCAAATTAAAAAAATGTACTGTTTGGAAATGTATCCTGCCATTACATATTACTTGCCATTGTCCATCACATCCTGTGTCTGTATGATCTGTATTTCTTAGCGTACTTAATGTGTATCCCTTATGTTACTTCATAGCCTTGGGAATCTCAGTCTTTCTGCAGTAATTTTCCTCATGAGGTTGTCTGTGCAGATTCTTGGGGCCAGTCCTTGCTGGTTTCTACAGATGCTGGCATCTTGTTAATAGATGGTTAGTAAATGATCCAGTGTTTTTCTGTCAATTTTTATGTATCTGACCATTTTCTTGGAAATGTATGTTCATAAGCGCTGTACGGGTGTTGGTAGGTTTCACCTAGAGGGATAGTTACCAGTCCCACTGAATTTATTACGTTATGCAACCTAGTTGCAAAAATTCTCTCTGCACCAGAATCAAGCCATATTGGGGATCTGATGTTAATGCAGATTTCTGAATCTTTTGTTATTTTCTTGACAGTCTGAAAAGACTTAAGAAGTCACATCTAAGCTCAAAGAATGTTTAAATGGCTTGTCTGGATTTCTTAGCCATTGATAGTGAGCAGGAAGCCAAAGGCTTATGAGACAATGAAAGCCTGCTTCTTCCATAGCAGTGATATTGCTAGTTTGACCGCTTATGACAGAGAACGTGTGCCCTATAAGGCCAGCAGGGCTGAGGCAATGAAGTTAGTTCTCTGTGATGATTCTCTAATCTTGCCAAAGGAAGGTCCCTTTCAGGCTTCAGTTGTGTAATCTGACCCATGGCAGTGATAAAATTCTCCTGTGAGGAAGTATTGGCTATGATGCTGTGGTATATGTAGGAGCTTTGTACAGGTTTTTTTCATTTTCATAAGAAAATAAGGAGGCTTTTATTACAAGAAAGAACTAGATCGAAATCATTGACCAGCAAATTTTAGCATGTTTTGAATAAATATGTGTGTTTCTTTTTTAGATGGTCAACCATCAGTGCAAGTATTTGATAAAACTCTCCAAATAAAACAGATGCATGTGTTGGAAGCTCTGGATCTCTTCATTGCCCGAACAGACAAAGGTAGGAGAGGTCGCTGTTCTTTGATTCTCATATCAAAGAGTGGCTGGTGCTGCGTATTATGCGTTATGAGGCAATAGTGTCTACTCCGCTGCGGGAGGCGGAACCCCTAAATGCTCATTCATGCTTCCTTCAAGGCAAGACTGAAACTGGTCATATGGTCTTTCTTCAGCCACTGCTGGAACTCGACACTGTTTGGAAATCTCCTTGACTGAATTATATGTTTATTTGGTTGCACAAAAATTTGGGAGAAATTACTTATGCTGTCACTGTTTAACCAGGTGTGTTTTATTGGTATTTATTCTGTTTACTGTCACCACATCATAGTGCTATAGAATGTATCTTCTTGGATATAAAATATTCTGCTATAAAAGAACTTAAATGTTGTTTAGACTGACCATGTTTCCTTTTTAGCCTCTTTTGGAAGCATTAAATATGCATTAAATGTGCACTCTTTCAATTAGGTATTTTTACCAAATAGTCTGTGATTGAATTTCACAAAGTGAACATGCACAAAGAAAGAACAGGATCTTTATGTGTAACACAGATGAAAGAATTATAAATATGATTGGTTTATTGGTTTTTACCACATTATGTCTGTTTGCTTAGTATTGGCTGAAGTTACATTTATCCAAACGAAGGGTAAAACATCGTTCCTTTTGTATCATTGGGAGTTGCCCAATTTGGCTGCACCTGATGAAATTTACTATGGGACCTTACAGAACAGGCTCAAACTACCCGAGAGCCATTTGCAGTTCTCTCTGAAGACACTTGGAGGGTGGGCGACGTTTCTGAAGATCTGAAAAGGGTAGTTGTACCTGAAGCTTAGTTTATGACGCTTCTAGAAAGGATTATCACAGTTGATTGTCAAAACATTGTAATGTTTGGTTAAACCTGAAGAGAGGGATGTAAGCAGACATTTTGAGGTAACAGAACAAGATATGACTGGCATCAGTTCATGACACTTCAAACATAGTCTGATAAAGTCTTAATCCTGAAAAAAATTGCAGAGATCTTTAACTGTTGATATGGATGCTTTCTGAAGTATTTACGAGAAGGTTCTTTCATACTTGCTAGAATTCTGGCCTCCTATTTTGTATTTGCATACCATATTGAAATTAAGATATGGGATGGAAGAAAAATCATACTTGCCTTTCATTTTCAGACTCTACCTGAGCAGCAAAAATAAGAAAAATTAGTTAGATGAGCAAAAGCATGCTCATACTGGGCTCATAAACTGGGTTCAAAGACTTTTTAAACTTAACTATCAGCAAGAGCTTGGTCAGGTCAACATTCCAAGAGAAGGCGTTGAAGAAGTGACCAATACAGCAGGTGTCAATGACAGCAGAACAAATTGCTTTGGTAGCAGTGGCCTCTGTTCTAATGCAGATGCAGTTAAAGCTAACAGTATGGTGGATCTGTTTGGGACATCTGCTGGTTAAATTTGTCTTAGTAATGAGAGGCCAGGCACAGAAATGGATCTGTTTTGTCCTCTAAACACGTATTTTCTTGTTCCACCTTCATTTTGTGAAATGCCTAGACACGAGGGTGAGGGGGGATGAGGAAGAGCTGTTTTGCTTGGAAGAATCAAGTCTGTAGGAAGTTAAGAAAAACTAAAAATGCTCAGATGATAGTCACTTTTACAGGCAGCCACTGATAAATCTACCACTACAGCGGGGTTGTTTGGAACATCGACGAAAGAACTAGTGTTGTGAAGGAGGAGTGATGCATCCTAGAGGACACACCAGTCAAAGAGCCGGAGCTATTTTAAATAACAGTGAAAGGTGGAGATTTATGTCTGCTGAAAGGCAGCCTTACTGTCAACCTGTGGGGTGCAGATCTCATGGCTTATGGGGATTTAAACCCCAATTCCTTTTTAAAAGCATATCAGAGCAGGCAGTGCTCATTGTTCTGCCATCATAGTGAAATGGCTGTCTGGGAAAGAAGTTACCATATGTGTTGTTCTTTGCTGCACACACATAGCATCTTCACAGAGGTACATATGGCATGTTTGATGGAAGCATAAAAGGTCTTCTAAAGTTTGCTGTAACCTGCAAAAATAAAAGCACTTAATTTACATGATGATAACTTGCTTACCCCCTATGTCTGCCTGTTTACAACCATTTCTTGATTTGAAGAAGGCAGACATTCAGATTGGCCAGAAAAAGTTCTTGAGTTTTGCTATGGGTACACAATTGTAGCATTTCAGAATTGTCTGTATCGCCAAGAATGTTTGTAAAATATCTAGCTGAAATAGTAGCTCAGGTACAAAGACTGAACACTGGAGGAGCAACTACTTAATCAGAGGCAGAATCTAGGAAAAAATGGTAACAAATTTAGAATAAACTTTTTTCAGACTTGAATGGCTGCACTAAAAACCATCCCTGATATCAGTGCAAGTGATGGTAGTCATAAGAGTTACAGCCGATTCTAGATCAGGAAGGATGGCCATCCTTCAGGTTGTGTCAATAGCTGCTTTAGC